CATGCGGGCTTCTTGATTTGCTCAGGGCCCTCGCTGGATTGTCTTTGTTGTAGGACTCCCCCTTGCGCACTAGTAGTTGTTTGCACGTGCTGAGATCAGGCGCCTAGTCGGCAAAAGTTACCTAGGGGCCCTATGTGGGAAGTGATACGGTGTACTTGGACCGTAGCTATGTACTTGAGGTCCAGGATCAGCGATGGGTGTCCTGTGATTTTGCTCCCTGAAAGCTTGGGGTCTCGACCCGGAGTGGTTCGAAGTTCGAAGCGGCTCACTACAGCCGGGGATACCACCCGAGCTTGTTCTATTTGCAGGCCTTGAACGGCCAGGATCTTTTTTCCTCCCCCCCCCCCGCCGCAGTTGACCAGGTATACAAGCAGGATTGGGGTTGACAACAAGTAGACCTTCCTTCTTTTGGGACCCCAAAACGGGCTGGATGTTGCAGAGTAGCTGCCAGCCAAAGCCTCGCATTCCCTCGCAATTGCGCGCGTGCCAGATGGAAGTCCCGGAAGTTTTTCTGGAGATGAAGTACTTCAGAAAGGCGAGTGGTTGTTGGTGGTTGTTCTTGTGGTTGCTTGTTCTTGGGGTTGGTTGTTCTTGGGGTTGTTTTTTCTTGGGATTGGTTGTTCTTGGGGTTGGTTGTTCTTGGGATTGGTTAGTTGGTTGTTCTTGAGGTTGGTTGCTCTTGGGGTTGGTTGTTCTTCGGGTTGGTTTTTCTTGGGGTTGGTTGTTCTTGGGGTTGCTTGTTCTTGGGGTTGGTTAGTTGGTTGTTCTTGAGGTTGGTTGTTCTTGGGGTTGGTTGTTCTTGGGCTTGGTTGTTCTTGAGGTTGGTTGTTCTTGGGGTTGCTTGTTCTTGGGCTTGGTTGTTCTTGGGGTTGGTTGTTCTTGGGGTTGGTTGTTCTTGGGGTTGGTTGTTCCTCGGGTTGGTTCTTCTTGGGGTTGGTTGTTCTTGGGGTTGCTTGTTCTTGGGGTTGGTTAGTTGGTTGTGCCTCAGGTTGGTTGTTCTTGGGGTTGGTTGTTCTTGGGATTAGTTGTTCTTGGGGTTGGTTAGTTGGTTTTTCTTGAGGTTGGTTGTTCTTGAGGTTGGTTGTTCTTGGGGGTTGGTTGTTCTTGGGGTTGGTTGTTCTTGGGGTTGGTTAGTTGGTTTTTCTTGAGGTTGGTTGTTCTTGAGGTTGGTTGTTCTTGGGGATTGGTTGTTCTTGGGGTTGGTTGTTCTTGGGGTTGGTTGTTCTTGGGGTTGCTTGTTCTTGGGGTTGGTTAGTGGATTGTTCTTGGGGTTGGTTGTTCTTGGGGTTGGTTGTTCTTGGGGTTAGTTGTTCTTGGGGTTGGTTGTTCTTGGGGTTGGTTGTTCTTGGGGTTGGTTGTTGGTTGTGTGGACTGTTCACTGATGTTTGCCATTGCGGTGGTTGTTTGGAGGGTGTGTGGTTTGTGGTTTGGTAGTGGATGGTTCCAGTTTAGTGGGTGAGCTGCAAACCGAGATGCCTGGAACATGGGTGCTTGCCGTCAACCGAAGGAAGCGATATCATCATGCGGCAATGTGCGGCATTCGCCTTGCATAAGGATCGGCATCAGCATGTTCAGGAAGGATGTGTCGGTGGAATACCAGACGCCTTGCAGGAAGCGGTCTTTCCACAAATGGGATAGCAACCAGATGGGAAACACAAACATCGCCCAGTCCCACTTTGGTGGGTTTGACAGGAATGCCATTCGATGAGGTCCTGAAACCCAACATGCATGTGCAAACGTGTGCCTTGGTCAAACCACTCTTTGTCTTGGCAGGAATTGTCGTGCACCGGTTACTAGGAAATTCAGGAAACCATGACCAAAACATTCTGAAAGCTCGTTATTTTGCTGAAGGCGCTTGATTGAAGCTTTGCTTGTTGCTTGCCACTGACGGAGATACAACAGGCCAAGTGATGGAGGAGAGGTTCTCCGAACCCTTCTAGGATCCTCTTTTAAGAAGGTTATAAATAGAACCTTTCCTGGCGGTTGCGGGGTCCGCTGTTTGTGGCCCCTTACTTGAATTGGATTCAAGTGAGCCATGGCCCATGGCCCGAAGCTTTCACCAGAACTCCCGGCAGCTTCCGTGAGGTGGAAGAGAATGAGCGCGTGCGGCAGATGGCGGCTCTTCTGAGCGTGTACTGGGTCAGCAGCAGACTCAGCGACAGAGAGACCCGAAGCTCTCCAGAAAGTTGGATCCCGAAGGCTACAGAAGCTGTTGATGTTGTAGCTGTTTGTCATTTTAGGGTTCCTTTCAGGGGATAACGCCGCGTTTTGGACAATGATGGTTGAACAAAATGGGGGATCAACCCCAAGAACACTTGTGCCCGAATCCCCAACCCCCAGAAGCTTTACTTTGCAGAACCCTCGGATCACAAGAACCTTTCGTGGGGTTAGCTTCTTTGATCAGGGCCATGGGAAGCGGGTTCTTCAACCAAGGAGCCTTCCTCTTTCCTGAGGGCCTTTGCTTTCTGAAGCTTTTCGCCGTGCCATAAGGATGATGGTCGACGTGTCTAAAAAGCCCAGTTTTGGGTAGGGTTGCAAAACTGGGTCTAGGGGGACGGAATTGACACAACACTTGTGTGCGCTGTTGTTTTTCTTGCTTGGCTCTGAACATATGGATAGAAACGAACTTGGCATTTGATTTGTGCCAGTCGGATCGTTCTTATAGAGGGTTCAGCAACCGCCACCACCATCCAGCCGTCTTCTCCGCAAGCTTCTGTTCTTTGATACGAATGCATGGCACCTCACCAGATGCACTTGATCAAAGTTCTCCACCTACACCCCTGAAAGTCTGGCATGCAACCGAACATAGGTGAAGGATGGTAAGGGCAGTCCCAGACAGACATAGTCGCTGCCGTCTTTTAACTTCCTTACTTGGATTTGGGTGGACCATTTTAATACCAGGTTTTCATTGTGACTCACATTCCCCTTCCGGCAACTTCAACGAAATGCCTTTCCCTCCGTTTGGTTTTCCTTCCGGGAGTTTCGGGAGGGCTTGGTTGAGTACCAGTGTTAGACTTGTTGCTCAGGGGGGAATTCTGCTTCCTCCAGTGTTAACCACACATTGTTTAGGATGACTGATTTGCCGGAATTACGTGCTCGAACATGTTTGACCTTGATGGTTTGCAATGAAGTAAGCGGAAGCCAACCGACCAGATTTCTTATCTAAGTATTGAGTTCCAGGGCTTTGACTTAATTGTAAACGCTTCGCGTTGCCCGCCTCGGCCCAGCCTAGTTTGAGGGAAGGGTCAGGAACACCGAAATCCAGTGTTGGGAAGGTCCGAATACCTGAAGCTGGCTCCAGACAAGTCAGACAAGCCGGCCTCGCCTGGTTGGGCTGGGCCACAGGCTAGTCTCAGACACATCAGATAAGCCTGCGCTGGGCCTGAAGCTAGTCTCGGGCAGCTTGGCTGGACCTTGCTTGCGTGGGTTGTTGGTTGAGCTGAAGCTAGTTTACGGCGGGCTGGGCAGCCGCACTGAGGGGGCTGGGCTATGGCTGGGCTGGGCCTGAGGCCAGTTTCAGACACGTCAGACAGGCCTGGCCAGCAGGCGGACTGGGCTGGGCTAGACGCTAGTTGAGCCCAGGCTGGTGAGGCCCAGTCTCGGCGCTAGATAGGCTGAGGCCTGCGAGTCTCAAACCGGGTGGGCTTGGGTGGGGTTGGCTTAGGCGGGTTGCTGGTTGGGCTGGGCCTGAAGCTAGTCTCAGCCACGAGGCTGCGAAGCCATGGGTGGTGCTGGGCAGCTGGATTATGGTGTTGGTTGCGCCTGGAACTTCGGCTGGCTGGGCTGAGCTGTGCTTGGGCGGGTCGCTGGATGGGCTGAGGCTGGGTAGCGAGTTGCTGGCTAGGCTGGGCCTGAGGCCAGTCGCAGACACGTAAGACACGCCAGCAGGCGGGCTGAGGGACTGGGCCTGAGGCTAGTCTCAGGCTGGCATACCTTGAGACCAGTCTCAGACTGCGCCGAAGAGGCCTGGTCAGCCTGGGCTGCTGAGTAGCTGGCATAGCTTACGTGAGACAGACACGTTAGAACCTGACCTTGGCACACTGGGCTGAGCCTGCTGGTGGGGGGGGCCGGTAGTGGCTGGCATGCCCTGAGATGCGCTGGGGCCTGGGCTGGGCAGGCTTTGGGCTGGGCCTGAAGCTAGTCTCAGCCACGAGGCTGCGAAGGCATGGGTGGGTTGCTGGCTGCCGGGCAGCCGGACTTGTGGGCTGGGCTGAGCTGTGCTTGGGCGGGTTGCTGGATGGGCAAGGCCTGTTTCATACACACTTGGGCCTGAGGCTGGGTGGCGAGTTGGCTGGGCTGGGCCTGAGGCCAGTCTCAGGCTGGCGTACTTTGAGACGGGGCTGGGCCTGCTGGATGACTTGGGGCCAGACGCGAGCAGGAGGACAAGGCCTGGCCTGCTTGGGCAGCCGGACGGAGGGGCTGGGGCACGTCAGACGGGCTTGGTGGCTGGCATAGCTTGAGACCAGTTTCAGACACGCGAGACTGGGTCGTTGGTGTTAGACAAACCTGACCTTGGGGCCGGCCTAGGGCCTGGGCTGGGCGCTGGGCTGGGCTTGCTGGATGACTTGGGGTAGGCCTGTTTCAGACAAGCTTGGGCCTGAGGCTGGGGGGCTGACAGGCCTGGCCAGCAGGCGGGTTGCTGGTTGGGCTGGGCCTGAGCCCAGTCTCAGACACGTCAGGCACCAGGAGCATGCCGTCAGGACAAAATTTTAGCAATTGTCAGCACATTTTCGACAACAATGGACCGACGCCGACGAACCCCGGAAATTTCAAGGCCCGCCGGACAGGATTTTGGGTCCAGCCGACATGGGTGGGGGGGGGCAGGAGAAGAGCCCTTGGCCCCTTTGGGGCCGAGGCGAAATGGTTTCCACTTGCGAGGGACAACTTCAGCGGCTGGTTTCGGCCACGCGTTTCGTGTGTCAGATTTAGTCGTCCAATAAAACCTGTTCTTCCATCTTTTTTTGGTTGGGGATCCCTTAAATCAGCCAGCAAACATGTGTGTTCGCTTTTGCCCACCATTGCTGGGCAGTTGGCACTTGAAATCAATTGATTTCGAACCCCGATTGTTGAGCCACACCCTCAGGCAAGGTCTCACCATGATCTCACCGTGAAGCACAACCGGTACTCATGCAGACTTAGTACATCCCAGTTAGCTCTTGGAGTTGTGGTGACTCTCTTTGTTTCCCTTGCTAGTTCATTTAGGGAGCATGTAGTGTGTTCTTGCTGCACATGTGGACATCCGCAAGCTTCTTTCCAGCTTCCTGCGCGCGATTTCGATTTTCCTGGCCTTGCAGTTGCGGACCAGTACTACAACTTTTCTCGGGAGCAGCCTGCAGGGCAGGGTGCTCAGCGCACAGATTTCGGGTGAATGGGTCAGAGGGATTCGTAAGACGTGGGGGCCCCCTTCTGAACTTCTGGCAGTTGGATGGGTTGAATGGGGGATCCCAAGCAGCGGGTGCCATTTTTCCGACAAAGCGGACGATTTTCGAGACAGCTTGCATGCCAGACACCGGGAGTAGCAGAAGCAAGCCGATAGACAAGGAGTAGGCAACTCCAGGAGCCCTTGGTTATTTTTGCCCGTTTGCTGATGTACTTGGGTGGCGTTTTTGTTCGACCTTTAGCTCTTTGATGCCTAGAAACACAGCTGCTCCTCGGCGACTGGTCACTTCTCGAAGGTAAATCCCGCAGGTCGGAGATCCCAGTTCAGGGAGGAATCCTGAGTACAGCACGCCAATGGCATGGTTTTCCGTGTTTCCAGGAGATGCCATCTCTGGTGTGGCGTTCTGCGAGGGGATCCTGTCGCCAGTCCTTCATGCATCGGTCATCATTCCCCCCCTCCCAGCCCCCGAAATCGGCAAGCGTCATAGAGTGGATGGACAGGTTGGTAGGTGGTCTATGTGGCATCAAGATTCATTCATCCCACGCCATGTCAGCAACCTGTATTGTGGACGTCCAGGCTGCCAGCCCCGGTTTTTTGCCAGCAAACCAGATTTCTGGAGCCCATGAGTTTTCAAGCTCCCAGCACTCGGATCATCCTGTGCAATTTCTTGGCTGCCCCTGGCAGAGTGCTGGTGATACGTGGCGACCTAGGACTGAACTTCCATTCTAAGAAATACCAACTATGAACCAGAATCAACCATAGGCATTGGGTGACTGCAAAAGACGAGGTTGTATTGTTGGGACAAACTGAACAGTGGAGCCCCGGCGCGTGTCTCTGAGACGCTGACGAAAGTCTTCCGAAATGTCGTGGCCGGCTTGAAATGTTCATGCTTTCGAGAAAACATAAGTTCGCGCAAATGCCACCTGAAAACAAAGAAAAACATGTGAATGCAATTCTGACTGAGTTGCCCTGTGGGTTGTTCCAGTTGGTTTGCCACAATTCATGAATACCCCGAAGTTCAGATGCTCGTGTTTCCCCGATAGTTGCGCCCTTCTGTCTGCCTGTGTTCTAGTCCGGCCCAGGGACAAGCTGAAACCGGAGTCCTGGGAGCACATGCTGCAGTGGCCATGCTGGCGTGTGTTGCGTTTTCCTTGTTGGGTTTGCCATCAAACTTCTGCCCCGATCGGGTCTTAGCAACTCTTTCAGGATGAGGGGTCGATGAGTTGCAGTCTCCAATGTAGCTTGGTAAAGGTGATGGGGCCTCATGTTGGCACATATTTGTGATGTCCACAGCCTCACTTGGCACCTGACTCTGATTTCTGAAGCTGGACAGCACAGGTCTGCTCATTGAAACTTATGGGTTTGAGGTTTCATCATCCTTGTTGACCGACAAAGCACAAACAATGCACTCCACTGTTGCCGAGCGCGACTTTGCCTTCCTTAGGGCACTCAAAACAACATCCAGTTGGACGCGGTTGCTAGTTCATACCCGTATCCCTAAGTTGTGTCTTGATTTCTGGCATGGTGTAAGATTTGGTGAGGGGGACCTTTTCCTCTTCTTGTCGCCCATGTGTTTTAACCAGAAAACACAACAAAACATATCGTTTGCTGTTCTATGTGTTTTTGGAGGGCTGGGGCTTGGATGGCTATATTGTTTGCTTCTAAGAGCGCCAAAAAGGAGCCACCTTTCCGTTTGCAGACACCAGCCTTCCACAGGGTTGGGCAACATTGATAGAAGAATTCCACACTGAGGGGCCCTTGAAGAGATGCCCTGGGGATTGAAACATCGGAACGGCAGATTCGCTGTGAATGCGAACGGGGTTCAGTTGTGGAAGCATGACCTCCTTGGAGAAATACACAGATACATGATAAATATGCGACCCGAGTTCTAGCAAGGATTGGATCACGAAGCCGGGTTGCTTTCTTTCAGTAGCATGCGCCTTGCGGTAAAGCCCTTTCGGGCACCCTTGTTCTGGCTTTGTTTTGGAACTTCAACCAGCTACAGCTATACGCAGCTCACGGACTGCTTGTTGCTTGCCAGGGTGAAAGAGGCCACGGCCTAAGTACAACGTGGGCTACGCATTGCAGTCGTTGTCGCGGCGTGCAGTTGCATTGACCATGGCTCGCGTGGAAGTGTTGTGGTCGGTTGACAATTTGTATTGATTAGTTGTTTGAATTCAGTTGTCCAGATTCTGTCTTGGCCCTTCTGGCTTTTCTTAGGGCCCAAAGTACACAGAGGGGTGTCTCTCATATGACTCTTGGACTTAGACTCGTGAAGCTGCCGACAGCGCTGAATCATGGGTGACCGCTCGGACTTTGTGGGGATCGTGCCACCTTTAATGCAGTTGAATTATTGAGGAACACTCTCCGAACACGTGCCAAATCTTCTGCTTCGCACAGCCTCTTGGTGTCATCGCCAATCTTGTCACAATAAGATTGCTGCTTCCTATCAGAAAGCCCTATTCGATGTTTATTGTATTTCCGTTGTTTTGGGGTGCGTTTTCCCCGTCTCCGATTGAGTCTCTGGACTCTGACTGCGAATCACGTGCTTTAGTCGAGAGTTCTCTTGTCGGGTCTAATTATCATCCACATTGACATATTGGCACGATGCATAGTTCGTCTTCCCAAGCATACCTGGACCAACCAAGGGCATTTTTGGCGACTGTCCGCAAAAATCCGTGCATTTCCTGGAGGGTGCAGGTATGCGCAGGCTTCACTGCGGGTTACCCCGCAAAAGTTTCGATCTCCTTTTGGCTTCTCTCGCACTCAGGTGGGCCTTACGCCGAAGCGGGTGCGCCCGGGCTTTTGTGGGTGTGCGTCGGATCGCGAAGAGGTCACCAATGGTCGGTCTCGGTGGCCAGGGTGCAGCATTTGCCTCAGGCATGACTAGGTCCCCCAGCAATTGGTGCTCTTTTTTACCGTTTCTTTGTTGGTTGGGAGGGTTCCCCTACTAGCTAGAATAGACAACAGAAAAAGGGTACCCTTGTTCTAACCTCTCTACTGGAGGACCTAGATGAACAAACTCCAGGGAACAGAAAGTCTTGATTCGGAGACAATTCCAAACAAACCTTGCTTGTTGCGGTTCCGTACAAGACCGCGCCAGAAGATATTGTGGTGTTCAGGGCCCTCAATTTTGTACTTATTGTTCCTTCCTTTCGCATAAAACTTATCATTGGGCAAGAACTGTCAAGAGTGACTGCTCCGTGCATAGATGACGTCGTGATCCGAGATCAGCACATTTACTGTCCTGCCAAAAAGACATAGCAATCCCAAATCAAACAGCTGGGCTTGAAGCCGAATCATCCTGTCCCAACAAGTCCGCATTCTTCCATTAAGCAACCTTCAAGAGGACGAGCTACGACTCAAAGCGCGGAGAGGGATGCTGATTGTACACATGCAGTCTGTGCACACACACACACATGCAACATATGGATGGTCGCATTTCTCAGAGTACATTTTTTCGAGGGTTACTTTTGAGAGAAACTAGACCCACACCATTTTGGGCTTCCGTTTCCCATTTCGAGATATCTTCGCTGGGTGGCAAAGAGCCCACAACTCTGTTTCCCCAAAGGAAACCGAAAGGGGTGGAATGGTTGTCTCATTGTTCCAGAGCCCACATGTTTAACCCTCATGTATTATTTGATGCATTTTGTGTTGATGTTAGGACTTTAACTTTTTGCCAACTAGTGGGTCTTCCTTTAAACAACTAAAAGTAAAACTTTAAGCAGGGGAGCAGAAAGCAACCGAGTATTTTCATTCGCATAAATAGCACTGCCGGAACTGCCAGGTGGCTGCAGTTCTCGTCTACTGTGCCATTGTGGGCATCGGCAAGCCGAAGCCTTGGTGTCTCGAGACTGGATATAGACAGAAGGTAGTCGTCCAAGATTTGAGGGATGCTACAGGCAAAGAAGAAATATCAGCATCGTTTTTTGGGGTGAGAACAGATGAACCTTGGGAATGGAGGCAACGACTTAAGGGAGTTTACGTCTTGAAGGGGTTTGGCTCAGATTCCAATGCGAGGGGTTGTCAAGAGACCCCTGAAAGGGAAACGGTATATGCCCTTGAGATATGGTGGTTGTATACTCTGGTTGTTCCAGGGCTATGCGGCGCTTGCCTTTTGGGCCGATCAGCAAAAGGTCGTTTGGGCCCTTAGAAACTGGCAATGCTACTGCTTGCAGTTCATTTCACTTTTGACAAAGGCGTGGAGTTTGGCCGAATATGTCTACACCCAGTGGTGACCAAGCAGCAGGAAGAAAAGCAAGTGTGATTGGTTTGGACCGGGTGCAGTGGAAGGCCAAGCCCATTCCGAGTGATGCATGCTGGCTTCAACCATGCTGGCATGTGCATCAGAAAGCAACTGCGATGAACGCGTGTTGCCTAAACACTGCAAATCACAACAGCAGAGACACTTTCACATGCACATGTCCACACACACAACATTATGTATATATATATGTATATATCTATATATATATATATATATGTATATATATATATATAATACATATATGTATCCAGTCTTAACTCACATGAAGCTTCCAAATCCACACAACCTCAACACTAAACACGTGGACACGCCTTCCCCATGTTACGCGCCGTTCTTTGGCCCTCGACTCCAAGGATCAGCCCCTTCCATCAGCACTTTGCGCCGGATGCCACGGAGCCCATCGGCGCCCTCGCCAGCATCGCGCCTGGGGCATGTGTTGAGAAGAGGGGTGGATTCCTTTTCCAGGGAAACCCATCCATTTTGCACCTATGGTCACCATCCACAGTATCATGAGACCTTTTCAACCATCGTTCTTTCCCAACTCCGGCCGTTTTCCCTGGGTTTCCGGAGGTTTTCTGGAAAGAAGGATCCCTGGAAAGTGTGGGGAAGGTACCTTGGCCCGCCGGGTTCTCTCTTTTTTTGAGGAAAACCAAGAAGGAATGCACATGAACCACGGGCTTCTCCAGTCTAGAGGACCTTCTCAGGTTGGTTGTCGGCCCCTGGCGGCCTCTTTTTTGAGGACAACCTTTTCAGGTGGTTTAAAGGGGTTTCCAAAAAGACGCTGTCATTTTGCGAGGCCCTTATTTTCACACATACCAAAGTAATACCCCCGCTGATATATGACCATGAATGTTCATGGCAGGGAATAAGCTCTCTCCAACACTGGAAGCTGACGATCGGAGGGCTTTTGAAGACTACACTTAGGCAACCCCCGCGCCCACTACCATGATTGGAACAAGGCTTCATTCGGTTGCCTGATGCGGCTGCTCCATATGCGTGCCCTACGCTTTTTGCACGCCCCTCACCCTGATCCGTTGGTTGAGTCTAGCCAACCCCGTCTTGCAGGTAAGTATTTCTTTAATTTTGGGTGGGTGTGGCGGCGCGATAGGGCGCTATGGTTGCAATCATACCTTTTGACGGCTTGCTTGTCAGTGCCTGAAACCAAGGGACCCAACTGGGGCAAAAGAGTAGATTTGTTTGTTCTGGACAACCGGATAGCTGCCAAGCCGCATGTCAAACTGTTTCTTAGGGCAGCTTGTGTTGGCGTTGCGTGACAGGTGACAAGGCACCAAGTGCTGGTGCCATCCTTCCAGCGACTGGACGAGGAGGAGCAGAATCTCATCATCTACTGCCTGAAGGCAGCTTTCTGGGAATGAGGAGGGCCGTCCAAAAGGTGCAAAGGGTGTCAAATCAGCATGCTTGTTGGTTTTCACAATCTATGGAACGCCTCCCTTAGTTCCTGGACTTCAAACACATTTTGCGAAGACGGTTTTAGTGGTAGATGTTAAGTTTCGACCTGTTTCCCCATCCTATCAGAAAGTGAAACAAGTTGGATTTCAGAACTGGACAGCCGCATGGCCCAGCACGGAATTCTGCACAGGTTACCAGTCGCGGCCCTTATCAGAGCCATGGGAAGAGCCGTGGGAAGATGCTGGTCTTTGTCTTTTGCGGCTCACTTCCTTGACTGCTCTTGGGTTAGATCTTTAGACTTTAACTTTTTGGGAAACAATGGTGTTTGCCACTAACCCCCCAAAAAGTCATTTTTTTGCAGGGAAGTTAACAGCAACCAAACCAAGCTTCCATTTGAATTGGCTGAAAGGAATATGTTGTCATTTTCCCCGGATGGTGTTAAAGGGAATCTATCACTGGAACCATGTTCCCATTCTTTTTCCAGGGGACGTGGTCGCAAATGGAAGCGGAGAGGCACCTGAGGCAGCAATTCCGGGCCGAGAAGTCATTCAGTGCATGATTTCGCCTGTAGCAACATCGACTGCTAGATTTGGGCGACCGGAGCTGAACATCAGATTTAGCAAAGCGAATCCCGCACACAACCATATATCGCATGAGATTTTGGAATAATTAGTATTAGTGTTGGTGGCTTCCTCCTGGAGAGCCTGAGTGTGATTTTTTGACTGTCCGGCCATGTCGCACTGGCCTGAACGTCGGCATGAGCGGACTATTTGGTTGGGTATCACTGCGCGACATGGCAAACACCCGAGTGAATTGCTAGGTGGCAAGGCTTCTCTGCTGCTTGCAGCTGCCCAGCGGCACTCTGTGTCTTTTCTTTTAGGAAGGGTTTGCCTTGATATTTGGCCATGGTTCAAAACCAATGGTACCATTTTGGGGATTTTCGGTGCACCATTGTAGTCTATTTCAGGGGGGATTGGGATGTTCACGGGGGGTACGGGAGTTTGACCCATGCCCATTTAATCTCAGCCAACAGACCAAGTGCAGCCTTTGTCCCATGTCCACTTGCAAGCCTTGCCTCCGGCGCCTACGTGCCAGCGCATCCATCAGGCGCAAGCGAACTTCAACTTTGGCCAGTTTCTGCAGGCGCTGATCGGATGGGCAAGTTGGACGTAAGCTGGCAGAAAAACACCCAGCTCGAAGCTAGTCGACCTTTTGACCTTTTGGTGTCCTTTTTTTTGGGTCAAATCTGAGTAAAAGTCCCAACAGGTCATCACCTTGTATTTCTAGGTGCTGTGGGTGTGTCAGGCTAAGTAGGAGTCGCATTGTCTTACTCGTCGAATTCAGTCACTCCTGATGGAATTATGAGATGAATGTTGCTTACAGATGGATTTGCGACTCCCACCTTAGGGGACCTTTGGCATGGATTTCTCTCTACGTCCTGAAGGACTGTGTAGCTATTTGTCCCACCAACAAGAAGTCGCAGGTTATTGGTTGTCACCAAGTTTATGGTTGGAGTTTCGCGGCGCTTCCTTCGCTTGGCTGGTCCGTTAAACGCAGCGTGAAGCACGCATTGTTGCATGAAGCTTTGATTAAACCCCGTCTATGCCACCCAAGTCCGCCGAAAAACTAAGCTGAATTTCTGGATAGATGCTGTTCACTCGTCGAGCCTGTAGCAATATCTTATAGATGGAGTCAGTAGGTCTCGCAAGGTGCTGTCTACAGGACACTGGCATCAGTGTGCGATGCGTGAGACCTTGCCTGGCCAGTTGCAAAGCCTTGTTCGCGCTTGTCATCCCTTTAGGCCCTCAAGATGTGCAACCTGTCAGCTGTAATTACCAGAAGCATTCGTTGCACCCCTCGCATTGCCCCCCTCCCAAACAAGACAGCATCAGGGTGAGAGCCTGCCGGTCAGCTTGGCCAAGTGCAAGGCGCGGGCGGGTGCATAGTGCTTGGGCGAGGCCTTTGGTTCGCCATTTGCCTTCGCATCTTACTTTTCCTGTTGGAGCGCTTTGCGCAGCCTTTGCGTGCTGGCCTTTGCTGGGATTTGTTGCAGTCTCTTGGGATTTCCATAATTGTGGTTGCTCTATATAGCCTGAGCCTCAGGGTGGAATTCCAATCACCAAAGGGTAGCGTTGACTTGCGGCCTGATGCCGACAGCGTTGCGTTTCACTGTTCTCCGCATGCACAGCCTTTAGACATCATCAGCCACCAGTCTGGCGTCCCTTGTGGTTGAGCCACTGTCGCCAATAGGATAGGCGGAGTAGAGCACATCCCGGATACTCCACGTATCACAGAGCCAGAGCTTTTGACGGAGGCCGGGAAATGCCGAAACGGGTCTGGAGAAAATCCACCAAGAAACCAGGGAGCACATTTTTTCCCCTGCGTCCCACTCTCTGCCAGGAGCTTCTCATTTGCCCACAAGAGACCATCCTCCACGACGTCTTCAGCGCCTTGGATTTGCAGTCATGTGGTTTGCTTGGGGGGTTGCTTGGATGGGTTCACAATTCTCGCGCCACTGGGCAACTGGGAAGTGAAAGCTGCCTAGAGCTTCCCCCGAGAAGGTTACCAGACGCAAAGTGAAGCCAGAAGAAGCACCCCTGATCCGCATGAACCGATTGAACCCAAAGTGGACATGCGCTACATGTATGAACATGTACGCAAACGATAGTCACACACTGCTCGTATACTATTATATATCTATATATATATATACATATGCTCATGACTGTTTAAAGCTGGAGCAACTGTGTAACCTGAATACCTGATGTGCAAACCTGTTTGTGAATCAACTCGGCAATGTCACGTTGTTTCTACTCTTTATGCACGATAGGCTCAAGGCCTTGATGTACACATAGCACCAGAGGGTTGTGCAACTGGCTCTACACGACAAATGTATTTTAACAATGACATGTATTGATTAGCATATCCGCGTAGCAAGTACAATCTGCCACCGCGGTTGCAGCCACTCAAACGCCACGCGGTACGCCTGGCCTCATGACATGTACTGTGCCCTGCACAGGGGATCGCACAAACGTTCCCGGGCGATTTTGGCTTTCCAGGCTGTTTTTGTTTTTGCCTGAAGCATAGTGGCTGATTTAGCGAAGTAGAAGTAGGCCTTGCACCTCGCACCCTATGATTTGTAGCAAGTGACTTGTGTGTTTGTGCTTGCGTATGTATGGCTTTGGCATGGGTTTATACTTTCTCGATCTAGGAAACACGCACCATCGGCACTGGGCCGATCCATCGGCACGGTCTGCATCAGTTTTCAGAGCACTCAGGTGTTGGTTTAAAACTATTTGGGTATGTGTGTGTGTGTCAAAAGGAACATTTTGCGTAGTGGTGGCTGGTCTGACCTTCCCAGAATCCATCAATTGCTCAGTGTAGGTGAGTTGGGGGAGGATCGAAAGTTCAGAAGTATGCCTTCGCAAATGTCCACACATTTCCGTGCATTTACATGAAGTCCATGTGTTTGAGCAAAGACTGTATTTTTATTGCGTGCAAACATGCCTTTTTCCTACAAAACCCGCCTTGGCTCCTCCCCAAAGTTCAAGCTTGTTTGCTCTGTGCGCACCAACTATAAGTCGCCTAAAATGGGCAACATGCACGGATGGGACACCACTCAAAAGTAAAAGACACAATAGGACCTCCCTCCAAGCGGTGAGGAGCAACGAGCAGGTTTTCGGTTTGTAGCGTAGCTCCTCCCGGCTTCTAATCAGCTGGTTCCAGTATACGATAAACCTCCGCGAACTGCACTACGAGGCGTCACAAAAGCACAACGTTTTGTCCTGGCTGATGTGCCCTGAATAAATCGTGCATCGAGATATGTAGAAAGTTGCATTTTTAAGCGGTCATGTTTTCATTGGTCCAAATCATCGCCCTCGTGCGAACCCAATCAGTTTCAACGCCCCGGTTGGAATTGTTTTTGAGGGGGGTGTCGCATGTGAGATGGAATCCTTTACTTTAGCATGGGCTGGTCCCCAGCTATTCATCCACCAGGTTGATGAACAGGGGTTGACAATACGGTACTGAGGCTTGGCCTGCATCCATCGCTTGGCCAAACGCACATCCGACTTCTGAGCGACCTCTTGACCTTACACCTTGGACATCACGTCTGTTGCAAAGACACATGGTTACAATCCCTGGAATTATACAGGAAGCTCCAAAGCCTTGTTTTTTGCAGGTTAGTCCAAAAACCCATGTTTTTGGATAATCCTAACATAGAAGTCCCTGCCTTGTTTTTTGTCGACTTCTGCATTTCAGAACGCGAAGCTGACTTCCGACGATGATTCGGGCACCGGCCCCAATAACCCTCCCCCCCCTAACACAAACCGAACTCCCCCCCACACCCCTTCCAGAACTGGCCCAGAACCCCACCTAGGTACGACGTACGACTGGTAGCATGTGGGGGTGAAATTGACTCGGAAACTGCAATTTTTAGCATTAGCGGGCGGACACAACGTAATTTTAAGCGTACCGGGGAAATGCCAAACTGCTCCTAACATAATCATAGTTTGCCTATCCCCACAATAGGGCAAACCACGAGCCTGCACTTCCATGTGAAGCACACGTGTTCTCCTTTACATGGAAATGTAGGGCCCATTTTCAGGTGTTAGGACACTTTCGTGAAACAGGTTCCCTGAAGAATCTAGGGTTCCTGAAACAATCCAGGGATTGTCGTGGCGAGGGGTACCCTAGGCAACTTCTATGTTAGGAGGTGGTCGTACATTCCCAGCAGAAAAAATGACAGGCATTTCCCCAGAAAAAGACGGTCGAGGGACTTCCATGTTGGAGGGACCTCTGAGAGCACGGACTTCTTGTTTAGTTTCAGGGAGTGTAATCAATTTCGGACACACCGTTTCGGGTTTTTTTCCGGAAATGGAATCCGCACGTGTGCCTCAGAAACGGTTGGTGTCCTTCTATCCCTTGAGGCACTAAGGCTGCCACGAAATCCTGGATGAACCCTGGTGCATGGAGCAGCCATGGCCTGCTCCAAATTGTCATGGTTCACTGAAGCCATGCCGGACCCAGGTTTCTTCCTGCTCACGGTCTTCATGTCCCTTTGCGCCATCCTGGGTGTGAAGAGCTGGGGCGCCCGGTCTCAGGCAAACCAGTTTCAAGGGGGTGTTTTTTTTTCCTCATGGCAAAGTCGGGTTGCGACTTCAGCCGGAACAGGCTCTTTCTTTGGGAGCGCTTATTTTGGGTTGTTGTCAGATCATGTTTGCTTTTGTTTGCCAGACACTCCGGACCAGTCTACCGCCCAAGCAATGTGGTCCTCTACTATAGGAAACGCTCAGTTGCACCACTTTCCCACTTTCCAAGAATAGTTTGCGTTAAACATGAACAGAACCGGCGGATGAATCCCTTGTTTCGGCAGCCAGCAGAAATGCTTCGCAGATTTGGGCGAGGAAGGCTTTGCATTGTTTGTTTTGAGCCTGGGTATACAGGAACAGGCACCAGCGCCCTTGGAACCAGCGTCAAACGACAAATATCCAGACAGCCCGGCATTGTTCCGGACGGATCAGGCGCCCTGTGCAAAGGCCACGCGGCTGTGTGTCCTGCGCACCCTCGACTGTTGGTGGAGGGCGCGAGTGTGCCCGGCAGGCATCATGAGTCACATGAGCCAAAAAGTGGCTGACCGAATTACTTAGCCAAGTGGTTCGCAACCCCCCAGTTAGTAACTATACCCCATGAGCTAGGGATACAAGCCATTTTGTTGCCTCCCAGACCATCTCGGACTGTTTTGTTGTATTTGGTGTTTACTTAAATCAGGGATACCAGGGTCCCAACTTCATGTAGCCTTCGAATAGTTCCAGAGCTCTGAGAACCTGGATTTTGCGCTCCACGGTTGGGTATTGGTCAGTCTCCTTTACGTACTCAAACCATCGACTTGCGTCATCGACTTGTACCCTGTGAGGGGTTCAGCACCAGGGTGCATGCGTCGGCCGCGTTGAGACTGGGCCCGGAAAAAGCCATCGTCCAGAAAAAGGCACGTTCACGACTGCCCAAAGAGAGAAACATCCCTTTGGCAGCCTCGGACCTCAAGGACCCGGTCAGATTGCACCCTCCCACAAAAGGAAGAAACTAGAAGTCCTCAGAATGATGGGAAGGTTTGGAGCAATACCATACTACTTTGGTATTGGGCAAATACTTCTTTGTGAATTTGATATGAGGATTACAGAAATGCAGACGGCGTTTGAAAGGAACATCCATGTTTCCATTTGATTTAGTATTGGAAAAGCTCAAGAGTGACCGATGAATCTAGGGGGACTGGCCACAAAAGGGGTGCCTCGTGTTGAACCATTACCTTTTATGCAACATGCAATAAGACATTTCAGCACTTTCAGCATGCCCATGTGTATTTTTGCGTTTCAGGAAAGTAAAGCTCCTGAGACAGGATGAGAAGCGAGCCAACGAGATTGGGCTGTGCCGTTCCAGATGAGTGT